AAGACCATGACACCCTATGAGATGCATCCCAGTGTCCTGAAGGAATCAGCTGATACAGCTGCCAAGCCACTTTCCATCATGTCTGAAAAGTCATGGTAGTCATGGAAAGTCCCCAGTGACTAGAGGAAAGGGAATGTTGCACACTTTTTTGAATGCAAATTTATAGGAGAAAAAAATTTCTTCCATAACCTTGTATCACCTTTGTGTCCAGAGTAAGATATTTTAAACTGAAGCACCACTGCAATTATTACCGGTATGATTTATGAGACCATAAAGTGGTATTATTCAATCTTCTAGAAATTTACCTTCTTATTGTATGGCCAGTCTTCGCGAATGAAGATTTGGGAAAGGTCTTTACCCTTCGAGCCTGCGCAGTGGATTTTTTAGGTGAGACACAGCGTACGCTGAGCTGAGCCCACCCTTTAATCCTAAGGTTCATCTACCAGGGCCGAGCGAGCTTGGACAGGGGCAGTGAGGTCCTCAGGACGTAGGTTTGTTTAGAGTGACCTTCTCTTAGGTGGATGGCCTTACAGGGTTGATGAGCTCCATCTGCCCGGGGGAGTTTCCCTGACCGGGAATCGAACCCAGGCCGCAGCGGCGAGAGTGCTGCATCCTAACCACTAGACCACCAGGGCTCCCCACCTTATTATCCATAAGTCTAAAGCAGTTTTGAATAAATTTTGCTGTGTTACTGACTACATACACATTAAATACATTTTTTTAAAAAACAACAGTCCTCAGCAATATCAGTGGTGATTACCTCATCATAAGTTTATTCTTTGAAAGTCCCCACTCCTTGTCCTAGCATCATAGAACAGTTTGGCTTGGAAGGGATCATTAATGATCTTCTAGTTCCAGCCCCACCACCACAGGCAGAGATACTTTTCACTAGACTAGGTTCCTCAAAGCCCCACTCAACCAACCTTGAACTCTTTCAATAATGAGGCATCCACAAGTTCTGTTGGCAACCTGTTCCAGTACTCTATCACTTCCATTGTAAAAAAATCTTCCTTTTATCCAATCTAAACCTACCTTCTTTCAGTATAAAACTGTTGTAGCTTGTCTTGTCACTGTAAGTCCTGCCTAAAAGTCTTTTTCTGTCTTTCTTAGAATTCCTTTTATGTATTGAAAGGCCACAGTAAGGTTTCACCTTGCTGTACTGATATCTGGAATTACCTCCAACCCAAACACAAAGGTGGTAAAAAATCATGGAAGAAGAGCCTTCTCTTCTCCAGTCTGAACAGCTCCAGCCCTCTGATCATTTTTGTCTTGGACCCATGCTAACAGATCCATTACTTTTCCTTGCGCTGGGGACCCCAGAGCTGGATGAGCTACTCCAACTGGGAGTACTTGCACGAGAGCAGAGTGGACAGGGAGAATCCCCCCTCCTGACCTGCTGGCCATGCTGCTTTTGATGCAGCCCAGGATGCAGCTGGCTTGCAAGTACACATTGTTTTCTTGGGTCCAGTTTTTTATCCCCTGTACCCCATGTCCTTCTCAGCAGGGTTGTCTTCAATTCATTCATCCCCCAGGCTGTACTGATATTTGGAATTACCTCCAACCCAAACACAAAGGTGGTACAAAATCATGGAAGAAATTTTTTCAGTTTTAAATTTACATTTAAAAATACCTTGGCTTTATATGTATTCAATCACTACATATACAAAAAAAGTAACGATATGCACTACCTTGTGCATGTAATGATAAGAGATAAGTTTTCCTGGATTATGCTGTCTATGAATTAGTTTCTTAAGATACAAACTTGGTGCCAGTTTTCTTTCTCCTGGTTTTCTAAAACATTACTTAAATTCTGTATACACTGGGCATATCTAATCCTTGGTAGTTACTACACTTATATCAGCAAACATGTTTATGTCACTCTGTGTCTTCAGACATTATTTATAGTCATGCATAACTAACATTTTCCATACCTTGCATAAGACTTGATAGTACGGTACCATTGCAAGATACAAATTGACAGTTTGCAATAGAATCTTGTTCATTGTAGCAATTTATTCTGACAGTATGTACTATACAGCCAGAAAAGTGCATTCTTCTAATATATCTATTAAAAATCTAATAAACACTGTGACTAAAGCATGCACACTAAATTCTATTTTGTACATGATGACAATGAGTCACTACATTTATAAGGAATTATATATTACAGTAATCAACTACTGTATCATTTTTAGTTTACCATTTTTTTTAAAATCAAGGGTGCCACTAAAAGCTATTTCATTAACAGTTTTAAAACAGTCTGAAAATATTTTAAAACTTGTCTCAAGATTTCTTTCTGTTTTGCTCCCATTGCCTGTCAATACGTGCAATGAGCTAGTTAACACATGAATGTATGTATGGTACAATGATTCTGCTCAATAGTCCTTCCAGCAATATTTTTGGAAATATTGAAAGTAATCAATACTTCTTTGTATTACCAGAAACACATAGCAACACTAGTGCACATCACTGCAAGTGGTTCTTTACTCTTTCACAAACACAGCTGCAATAGTTCTACTACATCACTGCAGTTTAACAAATGAATTTCATTGCACATTAGAACACAGAAGATGAGCAGCATCCTCAAATGTCTTTAATCCTTTTTGAGGTTCCATACATCATTAAAATAGAATGACAGGCAGGAGAATATTTGCTCGTTCTTTTAAAAGCTCATACACACTTTTGCTTTGATTCCATTCTTCAGTGCCATACCACTGAGAAACCTCTGTATTTTCAGAATTGATGTACCTTTCAACACTATAATCTCTGGCTTTCAAGCTCACTATTATTTGCCTTCAGGTGCAAATTTTAAAGTGTATAGCCTTCTAAAAAAACTTTATGGTTTCAGCCAGATACTGAAAGGCTTGTAGATCAGTCATCATCACAGTGTAGATTTCTTTTCAAAATAATGTTCCTCACTCAGAGTACACTTGTGGTTATACTCGGTTCACTTGTCAAATACAAATTTGAGGTCATCAAAAGCTTCAGGGCAACTTCAGCTATTCCAAAACTCATTTTCTACCTCTATTTTGTTGGAGAAATAGTATTTCAAATATAAAAATAATAGAAAACTCTACAGATAAAGAAACAAGGCATCTTAAGTGCATGTTTCAGTACAGCATTGCAGTAACTGCCTATAAGGACAAAGTCAATCTAATACCCAAGCGTTTTAAAACATCAGAAAACACCAAAAGGAGATAATGTATTTTACTACTGAGTTGATATGCATTCTATTCAAAACATGATCTTAGAGCTGACATCTCAAAATGTATAGGTACAGGGACAGATGTTAATGATTCTAAATGTACCTGTTGGTTTGAATTCCTCGGCCCTAGAGTAGGAACAGATTTCATTTCATTCCAGTTTTAAGTCCTATGTTTTATTAAAATAAAATAACAGACAAGAGAGTACTTACTCTTTCTTTTAAAGGCTGTGTTTATGTTTGAGAGGTCAGTCCGAATTTTTTATCCCCAGAGACTTTTTCATGCAGCTGTAATTCATATTTATAATTAAGCTGAGTAATTAACACTCTTTTGAAAGCAGAGACTATCTAGGTACTTGGGGAAAAGCTTTTCCCTTCCTGAAGTAAAATTGAGTTTTATCATTGACTTTGACACACAAAGGAATACAGCCTGTTTTCTAAGACCCAAAGCCTCATACATACAAATAGCCAAGGAAAACAGGTTTTCAAAAGCATGAGCATACACCCAAGCTTCTCTTGGAGACCCAAGGACAAATGGAACAAGGCAAAAATAAAATAAATAAAGCTAAACTCAGCTAGAAACCTAAGCTTTGTCTGCTTTGGATAAACTGTTAGACACTGTTAAACTGTGTTGGGATGGAAGCTGACACCACACTCATTTACAGCATAAATTCTCCTACAAATCACATAGTTGTTCCAACTTGTCATTAGCTGAAACTCTGCACTTCTGTTAGGAGAACTTTCATGTGTTCTCCCCCGATTCCATCAGTTCTCAGCAACTTTGCCTCCTTTTTATCTGTTCCTAACATTTTCACTGAGATTAGAAGGACTTACTTTGGCACTTGTGTATTTCCCATATTCATGCTTGTTCCATATGTCTGCTGTTGAACTGGGAGACCACTGGAACAGAGACCATCTGAACTATATGTCCACTAATCAGCTAGCACACTGTAGTTTATGTAACACATTGTTTTATAAGGTGTGATATGGTAAGGTATATCCCTCCAGCCATTTCATTTTAGAACCTGTGCTTAAACATCCATATTCAATATATTTGTTTCATAGTTTGATAATCACAAATTGTCATTCCAGGTGGCTATTTGAACTCAAAGTGTCTGATGGATGTGACCAACCAGATTGAATACAAAACACAGGAAGAAAGCCTGACTCTCTGACAAAAGAGACCAGGACAATCTTACTTTTTCATTCACTTATACTTCAAAAAAATAGAAAAAGTATAGTCACAGAGGGACAACATGGAGAAACTACAGATTATGGCAACTTTGTGGAATGCTTTCCACACTGAAGTTGCCTGGGAGGTCTTTTGCTTTCACATGAAAATTCAGCTAGAGTCCAACAATATCATGGGTGTACACCCCTAAAATAGAAGTGATTTCAACAGAGCATATCATATTCTTTTCTTTCACATGCCCCTATGAAAAACAAAGCAGATAAATCTTCTATTTAGAGTGTTTTCATCCACTGGCATTAAGGAATAATTTTCAAGAGAATTAATTTTTAATGAAAATTTCACTGTCGTAAATTTTCAGCAGTGATGGTACATGACATATAACCTATTGAAAAGAGCTAGAGAAATAATAAACATTTTGGCATGCTACAAAAAAACACTAACCTGCAAATGTGAGACAGTTGCATAAAACAATCTTAAAGGTGTGAGCTACTTTAATACAAATATTGATTTTTTACTCTAGAATAAATGAGTATATCCTGAATATCTAATAATGGAAACACTGACAGGAGACATACTGATTCCAATCCAAAATTTCCAGTGAATTAAAACTGTTTAACAGCAATCAGTACACATACTAGCTAAGCAATACAAAACAGCCTACCAATATGTTCAAGTTTGCACACATGCTTTTTAATTTGTGAAAAAAAAAAAAATTGACTTTTTATTTCCTTTGATATTCTTTTGGAGATGTTACATCAAAGATAATGTTGGCTATGCCTCTGTGGATCTCTGAAAACAGCAGATATTCTGATTATTTGGGTTTCTTACTATTTCAAGAGGGAGGAAGAGAGAGGACAAGGATGAAAAATGTTTAAAACAACTAGAACCATTTGCTCCTACATTGTAATATCTAGTTTTGGTATGGCTGTATGCTAGAATGTAATCTATTCCTTTATATTTGTTTTCCATTTTGTTTTGCTCATTTAAAAAAAAAAGTCAACAAAACACATCCTAAATATCGTAAAGAAGAGGTAGCACAGTAGGGCAGCCCACATTTACTATTAGCTATTCCATGCTTTATCATAAAATGGATTATAAAAATAGGTTCAAAAATGTATTTTTAAAAAATTATTGCTTATGAAGGCTCAGTATCAAGAAACAATGCACAAAACCCGCCTTTGTTCTGGCAACTCTCTGGCTCTGAATGACAGAGAGTGGTGAATAACAAATAGGCTAGCTGCAAAACAGGATTTGGCTGCTGAATAGCAGCACTGACAGTCCCTATAATTTCAAATGGCAAAACTGGCCTGAAACAATTGCTCACATATCCCCGGAGCTAACTCAAAGTGTACAACACTTGGTATGCTTTTACAGAAATTAACAGCAAGACAGACAGCATCAACTGTCTACTTCAAGGTAAAGGGTAAATGATAATGGAGAGGAACGAAAGGTAAAGACGGAAGCTGAGCCAAGTATAGACAAGAAAAAACAGGCATTCCTAGAGAAAGAAAAAAATAAATTTGCAGATAATTCCTGGGGTTCCCTCTAGGCAAGGTACCCAGTGCTCAGTGGGTATGAGAGCTTAATTGCTATTCTGTAGCATCAACAGTCATGAAGCAAACACTACCATAAAGATCACATTTGATTTGAGAGTGACGTGGCAGATGTACACAAGGTTACTGACAGCAAACTCTTCAGAGAAGTAGGAACCCCATGTTTCAGGAAACAAGAGAAATGTTTTACAAAAAGTATCTAAAACAGAGGGCTTTAGAGAAAATACAAAGTAAGTATCCATGAAATTCCATGGAATATATGTATATATTTATTTTTTAAATATAGAATAACACAATATCATTCAGAAGAATTAGTTTAGCTAGGGTATTCACTGTGATACACAGTGGAGTAAAATCATCAGATACAGTAAATTATTTGCAACAAAAGCCAAAATGTAAAAGCAGACTGCTGGTGGTTTTATGGCAGACTTTTTTCCTGCTTCTTTACCCAAGAAGCAACATTTTATCGGTCGATTGACATTATATCATTACAGAGACTTTCAAAATGGTCAAACTGCCTACTTCTCTTAAATTAGTACGAGCCTAGCTATTTCATTACAAATTTAATGTCAGAAAAGAAATCTTGGAAAACTAAGGTTTAATGTGCTAACCAGGATTATAGTGCTTCCCTCCCTCACAGTAAGACTGTCTACTACCTGCAGCATTACTACACTTATGGCTGTTATGAAGTACCCTGCCTCTCATTTTTATTGTATTCAGCTGAATTTCTTTTTCACAACATTCATTCCACTCAAATATACAAACTCTTTTACTTTAAAAAGCAGTGTTCAGGAAGGCAAGTACTCTGTTTCTAAACAGCCATGTACTGGCAGGAGACTATAAGCGCATACACAGCGTAATACAACCTGTAGTGGTTCGATGTCATTTTATAATTGAAGGAGGCATCAAGAACTGAAAAAGCACTAAGCCCTATAAGCAATATTCTTTTCACTGAAGGAAAAAATACAAGTGTTCAGTTTTGCGTCCCTCACTCCAAGAAGGCCATTGAGGTGCTAAAGCAAGTCCAGAGAAGGGCAATAGAAGAGCTGTGAAAGGTCTGGAGAGCAACTTTTATTTGGAGCAGCTGGAGTTGTTCAGCCTGGAGAAAAGGAGGCTCAGCGGGAACCTTATCACTCTCTACAACTACCTGAAATAAGGGTATGGTGAGATGGGGATCAGTCTCTTCTCCCAAGTAAAAAGCAGTGAGACAACAGTAAATGGCCTCAAGCTCCACTAGGGAAGGTTCAGGTTGGATAAAACAAGAAATTTCTTCACTGAAAGGGTGATTAACACTAAAAGGGTGAAACAGTCTCCTCAGGGAAGTGGTGGAGCTACCATCCCTGGAAGTGTTCAAAAAATGAGTTGTCATGGCACATTGTGATAAGGTACGCACCATGAGCATGGTGTTATTCAGTCAGAATTTGGACTTGACGAACTTGGAGGTCATTTCCAACCTTAATCATTCTATGTTTCTATGATTTCTGTGTTTTCAACCCTTGAATTAACAATTTTCAAGCAGTCACCTTACATTTTTATAGTATGTTATATATATACTCTTTAGATATGTCTTTCAAATTATTTTTAAAGGACTTGTGAAAACCAAATTTTAAAATTTTGAGCAAAAATTCATAACAGATTGCCATTTGAAGGACAGGCTACCAATTTTAAACCACTCTGAGGTTTAAACCACTCCACTTCCACATTTAGAAATGCAGTTACAAAAGACAAAAGCTAACAAATGGAATGAAAGTAAACTAAAATAGAAAAAAAATATTAATAGTTCAAAATAAGTGAGTACAAGCTAAGGTAGACCAAGAACTATATTGGAAACAGTGTGGGGCAGATCCAGAAGACTTATGCTTTCTCTAAGGCTTTGAATGGGCCACTAATTACTCACTTTCTACCAGACATTACAGTCACGCACACAGTGACAACTTAAGTAATTCATACGTAACATAGCAAGTATATTGCATTTATGCATATCTTCTGCTTGGGTACATCAGTTTTCTTGAACGACACTCTTTATTGTGTGATTTGTTTTATGTACATTTTTCAATGTCCAGATGGTGGAGATACAATATAACAAACAGATCATACATCCTTTTACCTTCATAACTAGTTCATTAAGGTAAAAAGTCACAGTAAAGAGACGTCACAAACATGTATTGTGTAATATTCCCAGTCTGTTCAGGTTTCATCACCAGTAGAGTTCCAAAAGTGAAACTTCCACAGTTGACATTGATCAAGTTTGTTATTCTTTTTTTGCGGAACAACAGGTTTGAATTACTTTTAATAGAACACCAAAGACTGTTAACAGTGTTAATGAATTGCCACTATGTGTCAAAAGGTCAATCTTAATGAAAACCTGGTTATTTATTCCTTACCTTAAACATGGTTTACTGCACTCTACGTTGCAATAATCATCACAATTCAGATTTTCAATATATTTCAAATATTGGAACACCTTAACAGCAAAGCATATATTAATATACTACTCACCAATTTTAACCTTTGCAAAGGTATTCTGCTAGTGTCTATCGGAGTACGCTCTGTGACATTACCAAATCTGACTTCTGGGATGGCAATTGCACATATTACATGTGCCCACCTGTGAAAAGTGGCAAGTCAAAAATACCACCAAAAAAACCCATAGAAGTACAAGTGTTTCAGATGTTTCATTACTTGCTGTGTGTTTTGTTTTTTGCTTCTGTTTTGGGGTTTTTTTAAAGGTATCATCTCTATTTAGTTCCTTATTAGGCTTTCCTAAACTTCTTCAAAACATTTTAGCAAATGTTACACCACCACCACCACTTCGTTTAAATACAATTTCAGACTGATGTCCTGTTGCAACACTTTTTTAAGCACCTTTCACTTTCAATTAAGTGCGAAGTTTTCGTAGACACAATGGCATAAAAGCAGCAGAGTGATCAGGCTATCAGTGCAATGACCAACATGAACTGGATCACCTTTAGCAGTGAAAACACTTGCAAGTGCCTAGGACCAATGCTACATGTAAGACTTCAGTGTAACTTCAGGAAGTTTGTCAGATCATTCTATGTGCTTCCTATATTCATCAGAAAGCATTGCTATTATCCTCCAAATTCTGTTTCAATACATAAATATCAGAATAAGAAAGGCTAAATGAAACTTTAAAAAGTCTGAAATTAATATTGAAAGTTTATGTTTCATGGAGTAAAAGAGAAGCTAATGACATTCTTATTAACAAAGAGCAGCCTTCTGAGATCACTTCTAAAATCTTTTAGGGATAGACAAGTAGTAAATCTGAAGAAGGGAAAACATTTCTATTCTTTGACTCATATTTGCTTTATTCCCTGTCATTCACTGTACATCTGGTTTCATTACCCCATCTGCTCTATTTCTCTAAGCCCTGAATGCTTGCCTCATTCCCCTTTCTGTAGATCTCCAAGAGACACATATTATTTGAGCATCTTAGCAGATTAACAGGAATGTGGTCTGAAACTGAAGAAGATGGAGGGTGATGCAGAAAATAGAAATAATTTCTCTTTCCTGCAGTAGAGAAGTAGTATTTCAAATAAGTCATTGACAAAAACATCTAAAAAAGTATAATATGACACTCAACAACTAAATATAAACTGCTGTCATGTGACTTCAAAGTTGTATTCATCAGAGTGTGAAATAACAGCTTTATATAAAGATGTCATATCAATTAGCAAGTTACAAATTCAGCCCAAATAAAAGCAGATAAAGCTTGCAGATCTATAATTTTATTAAGGTGACAGCTTAGTTCATGTTTTAACTTAAAGAGTCCTGCTTTAAGACTTCTTTAAATTTGTAATAACACCCTTTTTCTCTTCATTGCTGCCTGCCCACCTGCTAAACTACAGTCTTACCATCTAAGCTTTATGGGACAGAAACGCTGTAAATAAAATAACTCTTCAATCAATCTTTACCCAATCATTTATACTCTGACATCTCTCAACCTAACAGACTCAAAATAATTGCTGTGTTCTGCTGAAAAGAAGGAATCTCAACTCTCCTATATGGTAAATTGTTTCCTGCACACACTGTGTTTGATACATTAGCTTTTAAATATAAGTAGTACTCATACCTCTCACTAGTTTGTAAGGAGCAAACAAGGAGCAAAGGGAATGCACATGTTAGATTTTACACTTGTTGGAAAAAAAAGACATATTTGTAACATACTTTTCTGAAAAACTCAAAATCTTGGAATGGTAGCTAAAGCTGAAAGATAGATGAAAACCTCCACAATGTATAACAGCTATAAGGTATTATGGAAACAGGAAAACAGGAGTTGAACTGCTTTTACAGAAATTCCATTTCATAAATCTGTAACATTAACCTACAGAGTGACAGAATGTAAAGCCAAAGATTTTATGTATTGTTATACAAAGAAAATCACTTTATGTAAACCTCTGTGGATTTTTTTTCTATGAATAAATCTTATGAAATATTTGGAAAAAATTTCAATTGGTTCACAAAAAAAGATATACATATTTTCAAAGGAGCAACCTGTAATCAATCAACAGCAAATATTAAAAAGGGCATGAGATATTTCCGTCATTTTTTTTCTTTTTTTTTTTTTTTTTGTGATTAAAGCAAGTATCAAATTTAGGGGAATTTAAACTAAAAATCAGATGAGAATTTTCATGTACTGGCCAAAAGCTCCACTGGAATGGTTACGATATTAATGCTTTTTGCAGGTGAGATATGGCCTGAGTTTCACATAAAACCTTCTACTAACTGAACAATTAACCACTCATGCAATCCAATGCAAATCATTGATAAATAAATTCTTTCCTGCTAAGCAAAAAAGAATGTTGTACCAAGATCATGTCTTACCACTGCATTCCAAAGCATTAAAGAAAGAGTCTACATGATATTGCCAAGCTACTAAAATAACCTAATTAATTATGAAATTCTAAATGCATGAAGACTGTTGTACTATTGGGCTTGACAAAATATTAAGCTGAGACATTTTCCACTTCAGCTTTTAGGGTTACTTGCTATAGTGTCTGTCATCCAGATACAATAAAAAATATTGATTCTGTTAATAATACAATGTCATCAACAATACTAATTTTGATAGTGTGTGCTATAAATGTATTTGAATAAAAAAAGAACTATTTCAGAATTGAAAATTATTTCAGTATGATTAAAATTAATGAACTGAAAATACTGGTTTTAGAAGTTCAAAGGTATTGTATGGTAGTTTTCAGGAGGAAAGAGGAAAATACACTTTGGTGTTTGGTAAGACTTCCTCATGCAGACAGGGACAAATGAGCTCTCATTTACTTTCTCTACACAAAGGCCAGCAGATTAAAATTTGGAACAAGTAAGTGCGTGCAAATACTAAAAGAAACGTACATTTTACTATCTAACTATTTCACAAAATGCCAGTGGCACATTTGAATAGCAGTAATTTTAGTTCTGCAACAATTCAGCTTCAAGGGACACTGTCAAGTAATTATGTTTACAAATGCTTTGCACATGGGAAAGGATTGGGAATAAAGTAAAAAATAAGCACATACAGTCCTGAAAAATATATTACTTACTTTTTGTCAGTAGTTTGCTTCAATGCACCACCTCTCAAATTGCAGAGACAACATTCCTAAAAATAAAAATAGTGTAGGAAAAAAGTTAGCATTATTTTCTGTTTAAAAATCAATTTTATTTAGCTGATCTTGAGGATAAGCAAATTGCTAATGTATTTAACTAGTGGGATACAAACTGCCACTTATAAGCATGGCATTTCCTTACAAGGGGAAAAAGGATACAGTAACAAAAAGAGAACTCATATGACTTAAGAAAAAATATTTAAGTATTAATCATAAACAAAGTGACATAATCACTTTGAAAGTGATACTAAATTAAAAATACCAAAACTTTCAACCAGAACTGCCATAGAAAAGCTGGAATTGTCATACATATTATACAAGTAAAATGAAGTGCTACGGCACATAATTAGTTTAATAGAAGTTACTGAGAAACTGACCCATAAGCTATTGATCTAATTCAATTTTTTTTTCTTTTTCTTTTGCTGCAGTATACCTTCACTGCTTTGATCATCAGTACAGCTCCAGTTCTTTCAGGGTACTCAGCAAGGTGTTTCAGTGGTTCCCAGATAATATGCCAAAAGACATGGCTTTTCCTACCTCTACTTAAAACTGAGCCTTTTAACAAATACAGTCTTTTCCACTTTTTAACCCTTCACTTCCTCTCTTCAGTCTCCTCCATTTCTGAATCTATTCTTTCCCTTTTTCTTTTTTTTCCCCTTGGCCCTTGATAAGAGCAGATGAGAAGGTATTTCCAATGTTATTTATTTTCCTTCCTCTCTCTGTTTTTCTGGTTTCTACAAATAACCAAGTGTACAAAATGGAGTCAAGATATACTGTGACTGTATACCCATACATGAGCATGTCTCCTGAACCTCTACATTTAAGTTGCCCTTCCAGGAGAAAAAAACCATGCAAACAAACAAACAAAATAAAACCAAAGCATAATTCTGAAGAACTGCTATGTAATACTCCAGTCTACCTTACCTTAAAAATTCCAATAATGAAGAGTATCAATGTCTGCCAGAAATCTGAATGCTATATTACATTTCCTATGAAAATAACCTTTCCTAACTAGAAGCAAAACAAAAAAAAACCAAAACAAACAAACAAACAAAAAACCCAACAACAACAAACACAAAAAAAAACCCCCAAGCAACCAAAAAACTCCAGTGGTTTCTTGTGACAATTGGGTCCTCTTTGCAATTTAAGCACATAAAATTTGCCTTATCAACCAAACCCATGGAGAGCAGGTAAACCATCCTGTTACAGAGTACCCTTTCAACTATTTAATATTACTGTAGAGTTTTAGTGAAGTGAATTGAGGTTCATTATTTTATCCACAACAGCCTTAGGATGGGAACAAACACATTCCAGATCACAGTTCCCTTTGCAAAAGTAAACACTGACTATTAAATCAGGAAGCCCAAAGGATCAGAACAGTAACTCAAATGGAACTGAGCAGTAACAGATACTTTCAGCATACAAAGAACTGAACATTACAGGGCTGCTATTGCAGTACTGCTTATAACATTCAATAGCCTCTTCGAGAGAGGAACAGCTCAGATGAAGGACATCATTGCATAGGAGTTCTCCATTCAGCTGTTGGAGAAGGTGTAGAACTGTTCCTTTCAGGAACAATATTGCTATTCATATAGCTGCATCTTTGTCAGGTTCTCTTACTGCATCTTAGGAAACCTGTTCTAGTATCAAGTACAACACAAAACAGAAGCTCACTGGGAGTGGAGGGGCAGTGAAGAGAAACATGGAACTGTTAAGGTTGGAAAAGACTTCCAAGATCATCAGGTCCAACCATTAACCTAACACCAGGTCCATCATTAAACCAGGCCCCTAAGCACCACATCAACATGTCTTTTCAGCACTTCCAGAGATGGTAATTCCACCTTGAGGTCATTTCTTCTTCTTCTTCTTCTATTGCTTGTAACTTGGGAGAAGAGCCCAACAACCCCTATCTCACCACAAACTCCTTTCAGGTAGTTCTAGAGAGCAATAAGTTGTCCAACGACATCTTTTTCTCCAGGCTAAACAACTTCAGCTCCCGCAGCTGCTCCTCATAGAACTTGTACACCAGACCCCAGTACTGAGCCCTGGGGAACACCACTGGTGACGAACCATCAGCTGCATGTAACTCCATTCACCATCACTGTCTGGCCTGGCCATTCAGTTGTGTTTTCACCCATCCAAGCCATGAGCAGACAGTTTTCCCGGAAAATGCTGTAGAAGACAGTGTCAAAGGCTTTACTAAGGTCCAGACAGCCAAAATCCACAGCCTTTGCCTCATCTACTAAGGTTGTCACCCTATCGTAGCAGGAGATCATATCATCTTATATCAAAATTCATTATTTGAATAATGATGAACTTTTCCTGCTTCTAATAAGTACGTTTCACTTTTAAGAAAAATCTTCACTTGATCATGTGTTGTATAACTTATCAGTGCAACTAGACTGAGAAGCCAAGGCCCCAAAGAAATTCCACAAAAAAATTAAGCTAAAATTGCACTGGAATTTAGGCAGAAGTCATAATCTTTGCCTACTAACTACAGATTTTCCACATTAGGTTAAAAAAAAAAAAAAACAAGGTAGATAACTATTACCCTTATGCAGCACCTATAGGAACCAAATTTAATCTCCTCTCACAAACCACTTATAAAAATCTTTGGTGAGTAGAAAATGTTGGTGGATAGTTGTTCACTGTCTGCTGGACACAGGTTACAAGAAATTAGATCCCTAAGAACTTTTAAGTTTCACCAGTGTTCAGAGCAAACCCAGGCAGGTAGGACCAGAGGCTTAAAGCCCATTAAAACTACTTTTGTTAATCATGGCTGCATTGCAATACACTGTCCTATATTCAGGCAACATGGCTATTACTTTAACTCCAGCTTCAACACACTGCAAGTAGTGAAAACTCAGAGGATTTCATATTTACAAAGACTAATATTTCTAATAAATGTATATTAATCACGGATGGCAGTGAAATCACACTAGCAATTATTACCCATGTTATTATCCATGAAGGGCATAGATCTGTTGGAGTGGGTCCAGAGGAATGCCACAAAAGCAATCAGAAGGCTGAAGCACCTCACCTATGAAGGCTGAGAGAGCTGGAGTTGTTCAGCAGGGAGAAGAGAAGACTTTGGGGAGACCTTATTGTGGCCTTTCAATAGTTAAAGGGAGCTTATAAGAAATATGAGGACAATCATTTTAGAAGGGGTAATAGTTTTACATTTAGATGAGCTATAAGGAAAACGTTTTTTTACAATAAGGGTGGTGAAACACTAGAACAGGTTATGCAGAGAGGTGGTAGACGTCCCATCCTTGGAAACATTCAACATTAGGTCACATGGGGCTCTGAGCAACTTAACCTAGTTGGAGATGTCCCTGCTTATGGCAAGGGATTTGGACTAGATGACCTTTAAAGGTCCTTTCCAACACAAATTATTCTGTGATTCTATGTTCTCACAGAAGAAGAGAGCGTCTGTGCACCCCTGTGCGTCTGCTGTCAGCCTCTATGTAAAAATCAGGATAGGAATGGATTTCATTATAAAGTATCACTTTACAACATATCCAATCTCTGATTCATTATTACTTTGCAAATCCTTTAAACAAGTAATTTTGTCATTTGTATTTGCATTAAATAATAATTTCTTAAGTACATTATTTTATACTTATCTAAATTAAATCTTAGACCATTTATAATTGCTCATCTCCTTTAAAAATCTCCATAACATTCTAGAATTACAAGAGACCTTTCTTTCTTCCAGTATCTGTATAAAATAAGACATCTCCATACAATTTGCAAGCTTTAGCACAGTAACGTTCATTTCATCTTTCAGCTTTTTAGTGGAGATGATGCATTTTTTTTTAATAACAATACAGACCATATCCACTGTTTCTGGACCAAATGCTTTCCCTTGCTTACCATGAAACACTTTTGCAATCAGCAATCCTAATCTGGTCTACTCCTTTCTCTGTTTCAATCACTTCTCAGACTCAGCTGCGAAAACTCCCCTCCGAGGAAGCATCAAGACATTCATAACAACTTACACCATCAAAGATTCCTGAAGTATCCCGTGACTCCCAGTATTACATCATACATTGCAAAACTTCCCACCGCAGGATACTAGGCATTACTACCTGAACCTGAGCATATATAACTCATGAAATCTTTGAGTTTTGTGGACTTCTCCCACCAGATCAAGACCCCGCAAGACCGTGTCCATCACTTCAACCAACAGACATCAAAATTACCAAGTCTCACTGCTGGATTCAATGGGCGGTGACTATATAACTTTGTACTTCTATCTTTTCTCTTTCTTTTCCTCATCCATTTTCCTAAGTGTTATTTCTACGTTTTAATATTGCTGTATTACTGTAGATAATAACAACCAAAACAGCTTCATACCTGTTTTCCTTCACAACCAAATTGTTCTAAAACAAATCCTACATATATGTATTTATAAACACTGATCATTCAGTGTCACTTCATTCTAATCTGCCCCAAGGGATCTAGTAACAAGAACCTGGGTTACCCTTGCCTTCTGGGGCAGGTCATAACACATGGATAAATACTACACAAACCCTAAGCCTGTCCTCAGTCATTTATATTTTAAAATGAATGCATTAGGTTATCTTTGAGTATTTTTTACAGTCTGCCAAAATTCAAAGTCATATTGACAGTAATGTATACAAAAAGCAGTTTTCACACTTCCATATTTGCATACTTACTTCATCAGCAAAAGCACTCTGTATGACAGGAAGCTGCCTGACACAGCAAGGCAACAGAATTCAGCCAAGCCATAGCAGAGGGACACGCAGTAAGTTATCTAATGGTTATTTTTATGGAAAACTATGAACAAGCACCACATGATCCCCCTTCTTGTTAAACTGCTATTCTCCTTTTGCCTCAGGCCCTGTAAATTGCAACGTCATCGCCAAAGAATTATTTTTATTCAGTCAAAAAAAAAAGTTTAACTAATGTCAGTGGATGAAGACAGGGTAAAATAAAATACATTTTATCACAGCTGTTCGGGTCACTG